CAGAGAAACCAGGGAATGGGCAGATGCAATGAGAACCTTGGGGAAGGTGGCATAGGCCCTCAGAGGTAGCAGCCACTAAGAGGACAGGAGCAACTCAAGAGGCTCCAAGGCTTTGAGCTGGTGTGACTAGGAGCAGGTAGAGCTATTCACCAAGCAAGGATGGTAGAAGGGAAAGGTAGGTTCAGGGACAAACCTGAAATCAGGAGCAGAGGACTGTGAGGGCCATCAAGTGGACATATGCAATGGGCAGATGGGTAGGTATTTCCATATCTCCAAAAAGAAGTCAAGGCTAGAGACATCCATTTGAGAGTCGATGTCTACAGAAGTCAATAGAGAATCCATAAAGCTTCCAAGAGGAGTGTGTAGAGAGAGAAGGTGGATGAGATAAGCTTTGGAAATGCTTACATTGTTCTGGGAGAAGAGGAGAAGGCAGAAAAAAAATGGCTTTTGCAGTGGTAGGAAGAAAACCAAGAAAACTCATGGTCATTGGAGGCAAAAGAAAAGGACCCACGGAATGGGCCTCCACATCATTAAGTGCTGCAGAAAGGTGGAGGAGAATAAGGCTACTCTATCTGGAAATGGGGCAGTCTCTGATTAGAATAAAAGGCACATCAATTGTGATCCAGGGATAGGACATAAGGCAGGGAAGGCAGCAAATGCAGAGAATACTTTCCAAATATTTCAAACAAGGTGAGGGAAACTACCCAAAGGACAATTTGGGAGGCAGCACTGAGACTCGGAGACTAGGCTCCATAGTCAGATTGCTTGGGTTCAAATCACAGCCTCAACACTCAATAGCTATGTGACTTGGGGCAAGTTAGCTTAATCTTCTTAAGTCTCGGTTTTCTGGTCTGTAACATGGCGGAACTAGTAGTACCTGCTTCATATGGTTATTGCAAAATAATGGAGGTGAAGCACTTAGGACAAGGCAGAGCACATGGTAAGTAATCAATTAGTGTGAAATGTTATTTTTAATAAGGTCAAGGGGAGACATTGGGAGAGGGAGCAAGTGGAGAAATTGCTGTGCAGGGGGAAGAGAAGATTCTGGAGTGAGCCAGGCTCTGGGGAGGTGAAGGGGATGGGATTAAGGATTCAGAGGGCTTATTGGGGACACAAGGAGGTAGATCTTTCCTTTTCTTTTTTTTTAAGATTTTATTGGGGAATTGAAGGAGAGGAACAGCGTTGGGGAATCGGGGAAGGAGAACAGACAAGTTGCTGCCCTTTTGTTCTTCAGTCTAGTTATGGAAGATGTCGCTTCACTGGCCCATGTTGGTATTGTGATCATCTCACTCTTCCCGGGTGAGGCAGTCGCTTGCCGGCCATTAGATGTTCACTCACGGGTGGCTCACGGCAGTTCACACTGCCGGCCAGCCCCACTGCAGCCTACGCCGTCGCCGGCGACTCACGGCAGCCCATCTCCAGGTTGAGCTGTTGTTCACCATCTTAGCTGTAGAGGGCGCAGCATCACTGGCCTTCATGTGGGATCCGAACCAAGACCCTGCTACTCAGAGCTGGCGTTCCAAGCCAACTCCTAACCAACGCGCCACTCGGCCAGCCCGAGGTAGATCTTTTCAAAGCCTGAACTTGGCTAAGCTTTGTCGCCTGCTGGTTATTAAGTGAGGCTGTGACTTCTTTTCCATTTTCTTGGGGAGTCATGCTAAGTCAGCTTGGGGTTTCTCTCACTCCCACAATTTTCTAGTATTTCCCGGTGCCCCGGTTCCTGCCTCTTTGCCTCCCCTGTCCACTGGCTCTCAAGTTGAAGGCAGCTGGATGTGAGCAGCAGCAGGACATGCCAGCAGCATACCCTGTGAGAGGGAGATTTAGGGAGAGCTGCTGTCATAACTCATCCTTGGGCTGTACCCTGGACGCTGGACAATATCCTCTGTCCCCTTGACAGTCTGCATCTTCACAGTCATTCCATGGTTAGTGGAGCTTCTGAAACACCTGCAATGGTCTCCATGGGCCTCCTGACTGGTCTGCCAAACTGTCCCGACTCTGCTGCTCATGGTTGTCCTCATATCTGCTCAAAACCCTGGCATAGCTCACCCGGCAGTAGCTGCTCTCCACCTTCCCAGCCTCCTTCTCTGGTGTACCTTCACATTTCCCTCTGCTCTATCCTGACCCAAGCTATTCCTGTCCACGACTTGGCCTTTGCATAGGTTGCTCTTCCTCCTGGAGTGCCTTGCTTTCCTTTCCACAGGCCAGTCCCTCCTCATCTTTCAAGAATAGCATCGAACTAGAAGCCTTTCCTAATATTGCCCCCGCCGCCACCACTGGTGAGTTGGATGAGCCTCCCCCATCCCAGTGTTCCCATAGCAACTGGTAGCTGGCCACCTCTTCCTTGTTATTCCTTGTACCTCATGGTAACAGTTGGGGAATGTCTGTCTTGTTATCAGACTAGGAGCTCCTCCAAAATGATGATTAGGCTTATTAATATCTGTATCCCCAGGGCTTAGCATAGCACCTATCTACCACCATAGTTCCCACTCCCTCATTCCTCAGGGGATATTGGTTGAATGGATAAATGTCCTCGTCACAGAAAGGATGTCATCTGGAAGGAAGACAAAAGAAGTACATGAAAGTGGACTTCCCTCCTTGCCCCAGGCCCCATGGCTAGGCTCCTACATCCTTGTTGCCTATCCTCTCATTCCATGACTCAAGGGTTGCTAGCTTTCCTGTTTGTTCTCTTCTTTTTATTTTACAGATCTCAACCTTTTCTCAGCTGTTTAATTACCAGCAGGCAAAGGGTGCTTCTGGTTGCTAGTGGGGTTGCCAGCCTGATTCCCCTTTCTGGGGGTGTCAAACAGGTTTCTTTTCTGAGGGTGTCCAAATCTCAAAAGGGCAGCAGGTCCTTAGGCAAGGCACCACGGGCAGGGAGAACTGCCAGAAGACACTGCTGCCCCCAAACTGGCCAAGCCAAGACTGTGCCAGTATCCTAGGTCTAAATGCTAGGAGGGGCATCTAGGTGCCATAACATGAGGGACTCAGGGCCGGGGGGGGCACAGAGATAATAGAGGCCTTGAGACTGCCCAGCAATCAAGTGTAGATTAGGACTGAGTGTCACTTAGAGCTCTTGGTCTTAAGTGACCTGTCAGAGCTCCATTAAGCAAAAGGGGTAATTTATTTAAAGGTACAGGAACAGGAGTGAAATAAGGCTTCAGGGGATGCTAGGAACCAGGACCCTGAACTCCGTCAGGGCCTTCTGTTGTCTTTTTTCCTTCAGTTGCTGATTGCACATCTCTTCTGCAGGCCCTCTTGCTGAGTGCTGAACATCAAGTGCTAAGCAAGATAGACGAGGTCCTCACCCATCAATAGGGGAGATCGACACAAAATCACTAATAACCCACATGAATAACTTCATTGTGATAAATGTTACAAAGGAAAAAGACACTCTATGAGGGGCACTTTATCTGGGTGGGGAAGAGGGAGACACTGTGTGTGTTTGTGTGGGGTCACTTTGAGAAAGTGATATTAAGGTTGAGTTTTGAAGTATTCACAACGTGTTTACCACTAGATGAGACAGAGATGATTTCAGTGGTTCACGAATGAACACTTTCTGTATTTATTTGTAAATGATTTCATAGACATTATTATTTCATCGATAGTATTATTTAGGATGAAGCTAAATAAAGAAAGGGAGCAATTAAAATAAGTAATAATACCAGTGGAAGCGGTAATAGATATGGCAAAATTCACAAAGATCACACTTGAATTAAGCAGGTCATGCAGGGCCTTGGCAACTGCTGTAAGGATTCTGAATTTATACTAAGAGCGACGGGAACTACTGTGGGAAGGGTATAATGATTACATCTCTGTTGAGATCGCTTTGGGTACTGTTGGCCAGCAGCTCGTGAGAGGGCCAGAAGAGAAGCAGGCACCCGTTAGTATATTTTTAATAATCTAAGCAAGAGTTAGTGCCAACTTGGACAGGTGTACGTGGGCAGGGGAGAAAGGTAGATGGACTGAAAAGGTGCCAGCAGCTGGACCGGTGAAAAATGAGGGAGAGGAAGATGTCCAGGGTGGAGCTTTTCTAGCCGGGCGGAGGAGGAAGATGGTGAGTTCTGCCCTGGAGAAGCTTGTGAGGTATCCAAGTGTAGATGTCAGGTAGGTGGTTGTAGGTCACTTATCTCTGACACACAGTTTAACTTTAGTAAAATAGGCAACCTCACAGAGCTAGAGTGTATATTCGGACCGGCGTACACAGTTCTGCTCCCCTTTGCCCCACAGCGTGTTCGAGATCTAGTGGTGGACACAGCCATGTCGCGTTTACCCCAAGGTCTGGCTCTGTTTGGCCCCTTGCGCCTCCCCTTTCTCTGCACAGTCCCTGGCTCACAGTAGTTGCTCAGTGTATGTGGAATGCACGAGTGAAATTAGGCCTCTTGTGACCCAGGGTTACATGGACCCGGCTGAAAACTAGAGCTGAACCAGACCTTTGGTTAGTGGTAAAATGAAAATAAATTTTAGGAAATGGACATGAAATAATACAGAAGTTGGAAAGCCTGGACAAAGGCTGGGGCGGAGGCCCCTTCCACCGAGCGGCCTCGGGGTCTGGTTGGCGAGCGAGGAATCGCTGGTGAGAGGTCTGGGGCCTCGGCCGCCAAGGTACCCGCAGTTCCCGGGAGACGCAGGGACGGAATGCCAGCTCCGCCCGGGCCTGGTGTGGTCCCGCCGCCGCCTTTAAAGGCCCACCACGTGGCCGCGCTACTAGCCCGGGTCCGGAGGCGGTGTCCAGACTACGCCTGCGCGCTGCGTAGCACAGGCGACAGGGGTTCCGAAAAAGAGAGCTGGGAGAGGAAGGGTAGGTTGCGCAGGGTGGGCGGCCTTGGGAGGAGTCGGCTCCCTATGCAAATCCCAGCGTCGCGCGTGGGGTGGGGGCGGGGCTTGCGATGCAAAACCAGGTCCGCCTTTTGGAAACGCGAGGGGGCGGGCCCCGCAACCCTCGGCCTCTTTCTGCGAGTCTCTGACGTCACCGACGTCCCGTTTAAAACCGGCCGCGCAGGCGCAGTGGGCCGAAATGCGAACTTAGGCTGTTACACAACTGCTGGGGTCTGCTCTCGCCGCCCGCCTGGCAGTCAGTAAGCGTCGCCGCCACTGTCGCTGCCTCAGCGGTTCCGGGAGTGTCAGACTCGCCGCCGCCGCTTATCCGCGTTCCCGGGAGCCCCCGAGAGCTCCCGTTCGCCCGCACAGGCCGGTCCCGACCGTCTGCGTCTCCTCGGCGCCCCTTGCTGCCCGACTCGCTCGGCGCTCCAGCAGACATGAGTGGCGACCATCTCCACAACGATTCCCAGGTACAACCCGACCTCCTGGCCCCGCCTTGTCCCTCCGCGACCCCGGCCCTGCCGCCTTGACAGGCCGGAGCCCCCGGCCAGGGGCGGCCGGCCAGCGGAGAGCACCTCGCTAGGCCCCAGGCGAAAGCCCCGAAGTTACAGTTTGGGGAGATGGCTGCCCCTTCAGGCCGTTCCCGGGGCCCCCTCATCCCTGGGGGCGCAGGGTGGGCTAGGCCGCCGGCCGCGCGCGCTCGCCGCCGGCGGGGTTAATGTGCCTGTTGTTTCATATTCCTTCCTTTTCTCTCTCCAGATCGAAGCGGATTTCCGATTGAATGGTGAGTGTGCCCTCCGCTCTGACCCCGGGTCCCCCAGCCGCCGGCCGCCTACCTCGCGCCCGGCCAGAGCCGGGCAGAGGACAGACATGGCGTCCCAGAGACTAAGTCCCGGCTCCTCGCTCACCGGCCCCATTGTTCCCATCGGGCGGCCTCTGGACCCCCTTTCCGGGGACCCCAGCCCCCCCAAATCGCGGCCCTCCCGAGAGGGGGCAACGGAGACCCTGTGTCGCCTGCCGCCGGGCCTCGGGCCGCCTTTCCGGGCCCGGATTTCTCCCGGGAAAGTCGCCTTGTCGACAGTCGGGACTTAGTCTCTGCGCCATTTTCTTTTTCTCTCTGCTCTCCTTTCTGTGCCTGTGTCTCTTTCTCTCCCTCCCTCGGCTCCTTCCTTGAGCTGCCCAGAAAGAGCTTTCTGCAGAGCAAAGCCGTATAAATCACAGATCTCACCAGAGAGGGAAGGGTGGGAGACTGAATTGTTACTATTTTTTTCCAAAAACTTTATTTTGAGGGTTATTCCCTTTCTGCTGCTTGTTTCCTTTTCTGCTTCCAGAATGAAAGCTACCCTTTGGCAACTGTTGATTTTTTTTTTTTTAAGTAAGATGTTTGTGATAAGAATTATAGCTCTAAAACTAAAGCCACCCTTTGTTGAGTTCTTCATATTTTGAGATTGTTTTTCCCAAGTTGTGTTCTTTGCATAGGTAGTAGAACCTCGCTTCGAAAAGTTTGCAAGTTCTCTATGGGCCATCCACTGTAAATCTTGGACTTGGGCATATTAATTAAAAAAAAAAGAAAAAGAAAAATTAAAGTGTTAATGAGTAGAACTTTTCAATGTGGCTGAGGCTCCTAAGACAGTGTTTTATTAGAAACCCAAGTGCACTACTTGTCAGGAGGAAAGGTTGCTGAGCATCGTGTATTGCCCCTTTCTTTCGGGCTGTGGGGAAGGAAAAAAGGATTTTATTTAAAACAAAGAGTGGCCGGCACTCACCCCTGCTTCCTGTTCATTCTTTTTCAGACGCCACTGTTTTTCAGGAATCAAGAGCTAGCTTTTCCCAGATCTTTATGTTTTGAACCTGTTCAGCCAAATCAAGGGATTTATTCTTTGAATGTTTCCACTTCAGTTACCCAAAGATTCCTCCAATAAAAAGCTCACTGCAGGCTTTTCAATAACCTGGGTGAAGGAAAAGGTACCCTCTGTGGTGTGCTGGGAATTCCCACTGATTCTGATGGCACATAATCCTGCTCAATTGAGTTTGGGTTCCGGGAACCTCTCCAATGGGAGAAGCTGATGAGTAGGTTTTCTGATGTTGTAATCAGCAGTCCATCATGTTAGCGTGCTCGAGTGAGAGAGCAGCCTTATGTTCAGATTTTGAAGTGGGGCATCCAGCATGAGATGGTACTCGGTGAGAAGGGAATCTGGTTAAAGAAAAGTGTAGCATTTCTTGAGCACCTAATATGGGCTAAACACTGTTCGGTGCTAGAGCGAACCTTCAGCCACAGTGCTGCGCTTGCCTTCAATCCAGTCTCTGGGGGAGACGTACTTAGTTAATTATACAGTAGGTGCTTGGGAATATGTACACCCAAAATGCTTTGGGAGACTAGGGGACTTAATTTTGTCTGGGGGGTGGGGAAATTTCTCAGGAGGTGACTTCTGAGCTGGGTGTTATGCAAGACGAGGTGCTGAGTGTCAGGGATTGGAGTATTTTTTAATTGTTTAGCCAACCTATCAGGCTTGTAAGAGAGGGAGATGAGGCTCCTATAGTAAGAAAATTGCAGAGTATAAATATGTTTCCCTGGGATGTGAGAGCAAAGAGGATGTGGCAGGTAAGGATGTAAAAAGTCCTTTTGACCTCTCTTGGAGGAAGGTAGGATCTTAATACAGAAAAAAATGATCTTTTGACTTTCAGACTGGACTGAGTAGGTAATATGTTTAGCAATGAAACAAAGTTTAGGCCTTTCTCCTCAGAAAGTTAACCTCCATTCATGGTTCTCATCTAAATTACACAAAGGAACTACTGAATATGTGAATGATTGTGGGCTGGGTAGGTTATTGATCTTTAGTGCTGTTTTTAATAGAGAGTGAAGTAAACTGGCTATACTGACTTTAGAATGTGTTTGTTCATGTGTAATAGCAATAGTTGCTCATATTTATTGAATCCTGTCTGCCAGGGAAAAATCTCAGCTCTTTCCATGGATCATCTCATTTAACCCTCAGAAGCACCCTTCTGAGTTTTAGGTACCATTATTTCTATTTTATAGATAGGGAAACTGAGGCTTAGGCGTATTACTAGCTTGCCCAAGGACGGTGAGTTGGACACTCCAAAGCTCACAAGCTTAGCCTCTGTGCTATATACGTGATTCTCTGCTTTCTTACAGAGCTGAAAAAGGCAAGAGGGAAGGATTTGATAATTTGTCATTTGCTTGCTTTTAATCTAAACCTACTCCTTCAAGAGAAGAAGCACTCTTAACTGTCTCCCTACTACGCTAAGGGTCTGGCACTGGAGTGATTACCTTTGTAAATATTGTATAGAAGAAAGATGTAGAGTTAGTTATTGTGCTTGCTCTATTAAGTAATACACTGGTAATCTGGATTGATTTATGTCACTACAAAAGACAGTTTTTAAAAAATTAAAATGTTTAATTATGCTCAGACATGTCATTCTTTGTATTGCTTGAGTTTGGATTTAAGTGGACCTACCTAACTCTTCTTACAGATTAGCTGTTCAAATTCATATATTATTAAAACAGACATCCTTCATTTTGCTATCATCCTAAAAGATGTTTTGTGCCCTTTGGAGCTCATTCTTTACAGTAGTTAAAACTGTTGCTGTTCTTAAAGAATTTAGAATATTCTGGCCCATAATCAACTGGTGGGGAAATCTGTTGTCTGTGAGATGTATTGGGTTGTCGGAAAAGTCATGACGCATTTTTGCAACGAAAACCAAAAAATACGTCATGACTTTTCCGACAACCCAATATAATCTCTTAAGTGAAAAGACCTTTCTAAATGTTGGTAGCACTAGGTATAGGGGGCTAGTCATTGTTACAGTACTGTGCAAACCGCCGAGCTAAATGTAGAGTTGATAATGACAACATCAGGTTGGGGATAGTGATCCTTTTGTGGTTTCAAGTACTTGAAGTTTTTGTTTATCTACCTGGGGTGCCAGAAAAATGTATACAAGTGGACACTTGAGTCAACATTGCTCAAGCAGTAGTTCGCAGTAATCAGAAGTGTCTGAACGCTGATGGTAACCACTTTGAGCACCTCTTGTAATTGCAGAAGTCAAATGTGACTTGTATTCATCTTTTGTTGTTGGTATATATTGAGTATTACAATTTTAATATAGTTTTCCTTTCTTAAAATGTGTATGCGTTTTTTTGGCACCCTCTATTTTGGAGTAGGGGGGTTCTTCCTCCCTAGCATGAGCACAGTATAATGCTTGATTCTATCAGTGATTCTGAGAAATGCTACATGGGATTGTAGTTTGACATCATCTTTTGTTGATTCTGGTTAGTGTAATTGATTCAAATTGGATGGGGAATTGAATATAATCAGATGCTAACAGATAGCTGTACTTCTGTGCTGTTGGGCCAGGGTTGAGGTGGGGGATGGGAAGGCTGATGATGTGACTATCTGAAAATTTCCATCACGTTTTTAAAACTGCAAACTGATGGCACCTTCAGATGAAATCTGGCACATTTTCCTATTCAATCCCAGAACACTTAAACATTGGGCTCCAGTGTTGTCTTTCCTAGCACTGTAGCCAGACTCTGTGGGTCACCTTCTCAGAATTAGGGAGCTGCTGTAGAATCCTTATACTACATTTAGACATAAAACAAAGTTGTCTGTCAACATGTGCTTTTTATATTACCAGCATATCAACTCACAAACAAAGTTTAGATTCCAGTGTTCCTGGTAAAACAAGAAAAGCCAGGAGTTACTAAAGGAATCCGAAATACCTCATGGTTTAAAAGGTGAACAGTAGATAATATTGCTGTCGCCAACTCATACTTTTCTTTGGAAGTAAAGTAAAATGGAAAATAGGAACTCAGGGTCAGTCCCCAGATCTCATTTAACCAATGGTAGTGAAAAAAGAATTGAGTCTTTTTTTTTTTTTTTTAACATGAGCATAAAAATGGAGAATTGTGGGAGTTTGAAAAAGAGACTTGTTAATTTATTTGTTCTGGGTCTTAGTGAATTAGTATCCATTTATACTATACAGTGCCAGGGATTCTTAACATATCTTAAAGCTTATATTCCAAAATTAAGCTGTTGGGTTTTATTATTTGTTTTTGGTGTGTGTGTGTGTGTGTGTGTGTGTGTGTGTGTTGGAGGAAGGAGGGGGGTGCAAAAAATGTCTGCCTTTTGAGCCTGTAAATAAGTTACAGAAAGCTTTGTGTCGTATATTAATTATAGTAACAGTTATCCTCTACAGCTAATGGTATGGAACATAATTCTATTGTACTTTCTGGATGTATCATTTTAGGAGCCTTCAGATTATATTGAAATTGTTATTTCGTATGAGTTGGGTGTGAATGCATATGTACGTTACAGATCTTTAACAACTTCTGCCATACTTTCAGTGCAAAATAAAATTGGTTTTCTTCAAACCCAAAGCTGTTTCCCCAGAAGCATGTTTTGTAAGGGATTGCATCCTTTTTATATGAAAGTGTTGAACTCCAATAAAGTTTGGGGTTCACTTGGGAAAATGGATGCAATTGTAATTATTTGCATTTGAATAAGGCTATGGAAATGATTGAAATGATTATTTGATGTGGGACCTGGAATTAAACCCTCTTGAAAGAAAAGTAAAATACAATCCATTGCATTTGGAGGTGGAAGAGAGTCAGTTGAGTGACTGTTCTGTGTCCTGTGGTTTAGTTTATTTGACGGCTCCTTAAATATTTTGAAACCATTAACTTTGCATAATAAAGGCATTGGGTAAACAGTTGAGAATTCGGCTTTTAAAGGTAACACGTTTGGGATGGGAGAAGTTCCTAACTGG